GCCGCCGCCGCCGCCGCCTCGGCCGCCGCCGCCCCCAATAATGGCCAGAATAAAAGTTTGGCGGCGGCGGCTCCCAACGGGAACGGCGGCAGCAACTCCTGGGAGGAGGGCAGCTCGGGGTCGTCCAGCGACGAGGAGCACGGTAGGTGGCAGCCGCCCCCGCGCCCGGCCCGCGCCCGCGCCCGCGCTGACCGCCGTGCTCTGCTTCCCCGCAGGTGGCGGTGGCATGCGGGTGGGACCCCAGTACCAGGCGGCGGTGCCCGACTTCGACCCCGGTGAGTAGCGAGCGGCGGGAGCCCGGCCACAACTTTGTTTCCGTGCGCGTCGGCCTACGGTCCGCGGGGGCACCCGGGGCGCGGGGGCAGGCGGCGCGGCACGCTCGCCGGGGACAGCGCCCGGCCCGCTGCGCCCCCCGCTCGGAGGGGACCCCACCTGGCCGGTGACCCTGCCTCCGGGTGAGGGGCACGGCACGCAGCACGGGGTCCCGGGTGGCAGTGCTGGAGAGTTGGCGTCCCGGGGCTTCGCAGAGACTTCTGACTCCGAACCGTCTCCTTGCGTTACCCTGCCAACCCTGCGCTCTCGCTGCCTCCTAACTCCCATCCCATCCCGTCCCGTCCCGTCTCACCCCCTTCCATGGCATCCCATCCCATCTCATCCCGTCCCGTCCCATCCCCTCCCTTCCCATCGCGTCCCGTCCCAGTCTTATCCCATCGCGTCCCGTCCTGAGGGCCAGTGGGGTAACGATTTCCCCGTCCGTCCGTCCGTCCACTCCAGTCAGGTAATAAAAGTGTGCTTTCTAGAGAGCATCTGCCTAGATGAGAGAGCCCCGCTTGTGGCTGTTATTTTAGGATCTGTTTATAAACGTGTGTGTTTCCTTTATTTATTTTTTTCTTTTTTTCTTTTTTTTTTGGGGGGGGGGGAATGGGGTCGGGAGGAAGAGGTTGTGAAAGAATAGAACTATCAAAAGGCTTAGCTGACGACCGTTTCCATCTACTAGAATCCCTGTCCCCAGGAAGGGTCATTTTACTTCCTTCGCCGCTGATCTTTGTGAAAGCGAATTTAAAGTGGTACCAGGGGGGAAAAATCCTATCAGACAAAGGAATTCGCTAGATTTTAATGCCTGCGATTCCATCCCATCTCTGTATGAGACTGTCTGTAAAGGTGGCTGTCACAGGAAATGTTTGGAAGGACATGGGTTTTGTTTCAGAAATAAAACTGAACAGACAGCCTTGTAGGCTCGAGTGAACCCTCCTAGTTGGAGGGCCGTAGACCAGGAGCCTTTCTAAGTAGGTTAGACCACTAGTTTGAAAAGATAAACGCTTTTCCTTGGAAACAAGACTGCAGAAAATTGCAAGGATCTGGTCCTTGAAAAAGGAGATTGCTTTTAAGTTGTTATTAAGGTATTGAACTCTGTGTTTAGGTAAAAGTGAAAACACAGAAGAGAGGGATTCCGGGTGAGCGTTTGGACACCCTGAGAATAAATGACTTGCAAATTTGTGGCTCCAATCGTCACATTTATGTAGCCTTAACTCTCCTCTCCCCGATTTGTATTTTGTAAACTCCTGTTAGTGTGTTGGATAGTCTTCCGCTTTCCCCACATCTTTTCCTGAGAGTCCTTCTCATTTGTGAGGGACAGGACAGGGCCAGGGTTTTTTTCTCTTCTGTGCAGGACTCCATTCCTGGGTTGGCCACCAGGGGAAGCATACTGTTTTTTGGTTACAGTTGACCCTATCCTCATTTTGTAGGTCAAGTCTATCTGCAGTAATACATAGACCAGTAAGCTTGCCACAAAGTTTCTCTCACGAATTATTCTTAAAAACTGAATTGGGCAGACAGACCTTCCAGAAACTTGGTTATTTTTGTTACATATTTTGGAAGTTTATCTAAGTGTTTGATGGGACTGAGGAAAAGGATGTGTTCAGTGGGTACAGGATTTTAGGTCTCTTAAATCTCTGCACTGTCATTCAGGTGCCTGATGCTTTTAGAGTTCGACTCTTCTTTGAAACATCAAGTGAAGTAGAGTAATTTTTGAACAGTTGGGACATTTTTGTTTTTGTGACATGGGGTGTCTCTATAATCCAGATTGTCTTGAAATTTGCTGTGTGGCCCAAATTGGACTTAAATTTGCCATCATCCTACTTCTTGTCTTTGAACTTATTTTGGTTATTAATATTATTTAGATCCTGTACATATTGTGTATCTCAGGATGTTCTTATGCGTGCTAGACAAGCACTCTGCCGCAGAGCCACATTCTCAGCGTGTCTTTGGACCTTTAATGGGATATGTATTTGCTAGAGTGCTAACACTCTAGAAATTAAAACATTGTAAATGTTCACCATAGCTTTATGCCAATTGATTGTTCACATTAATATATCTGAACTTTCTATTTTGTGTTTGTTTTAGTTTGGAAAGGAATTTAACTGCTATGAAATTATTTAAAACCCTGTTTTGTAGAGCTGAGCACTCAGACACATTTGTTTGCTATTTCTGAGTGTGTTTTTTTTTTTTTTTCCACGTGTGTTTTCATTTAATGTAAATTCAAAGGAGAGGCTTCTGGTTTTTGTCTTGTTTGTGTTCTTTTGAGGCAGGGTTTCACTAGTCCTAGTTTGTCCTTGAGCTTTCTAAGTAGGCCAGGCTGGCCTTGAACTCACAGAGCTCTATCTGCCTCTGGCTCCAAAGTGCCAGCATCAAAGGTGTTTGCCACCACACCTGGCTGAGACTTGTGTTTTAGAACAGAAATGGTGCAGCATCTTTTTTTTTTTTTTTTCACAGCAGTTTGAATTTAAACACAAGACAGTCATGGTGCCCCCATCCCCCAAGGTTTGTCTGTGTACTGCTCTGGACTCACTCTAAAGATCAGGCTAGCCTCAAAACGCAGAACTCTGCTTGCCTTCTTCTGTTGTCCCCCCAAGCGTGTGTGGGTGTTTGCCTGCTCCTATGTCTGTGCACCACATGTGTGCAGTGCCCTCTGAGGCCAGAAGAGGGCGTCAGAGCCCTGGAACTGGAGGTGCCTAGATGGATGTTCGTATACCGTGTAGGTGAGATGAATCTTACCCAGGTTCGCAGACAGCAGCTGGTGCTTTTAGTTTCTGAGCCATCTCTCCAGCACCGGAAGACAGGGTCTTTTTGTGCTTGTAAGGACTTAGGGATGACAGCACCTGGAAGGCTGAGGCAGGCTGAGGAGCTCAAGGCCTTGTCTTAAAAACTGGAACCGGGGCTGGGGAGTTGTTCTGGGCATGAGCTCGTGCTGTGAGAACGAGAGGATGGTGTTCAAATTCTTTTACCTCCACGAAAAAGTTGGGCCTGATCACGCATGGCTAACTTCAAGCTTCCATGTTCAGTGAGAGGACCCTGTCTAAAATTAAAATAAAGGTGGATATCGATAAAGCTCCCAACATCCAGATTCCTCTGGCCCCTGCATGTATGTAAACACACACAAAAGGAAAAACAAGAAGGACTAATGTGAGTGTTATAAATAAAGGGTGTTGCTGCTTTTGCTTCCTGCTGAGTGCATTTTCTCTTGGTGCTGGGGATTGTATCCAGAGTCTTGGCATGCCGATTGCATGTTGCTGCTCAGCTATATTTATTTTTTTGAGGCAGGGTTTCACTGTGTAACCCTGGGATATGTAGATTGGGTTAGCCTCAGATTCAGTGCTTCTGCCTCTGAGTGTTGGGATTAAAGGCGTTTATCTCCACACCCAGTTAGTTCACCGCCATTCTCAAATCTTTCTGCCTAAATTTTGAAAGCTCTTTTTCCCCCTTGAGTGAGCAGAAAGCTTTTCTTTCTCTCTTTTGTCTTTAGAGATGATCTCCCTATGTAGCTCTAGCTTGGCTGACCTGGAACTTGAGGTGCTCTTCCTGCTCCAGCTCCCTGAGTGCTGGCTTACATGCTTGAACCACCACATTTGGCTAAAAAATTTTTAAAAACAAACTGATCCAAAAAACCAAGTAATGATTGGCGTAAATGGGCATTCACTGATTTTTTTTTTCTTTCTCTTTGAAACAGGGTCTCCTTAGTGGAGACTGGCCTCAAACTCATGGCAGTCCTTCTGCCTCAGCCTCCTATGTACTGACATGAGCCATCAAGCCTAGCTTGGTGATAATTTTTTCAAGTCTGTGTTACTTATTTGTAGACCTTAGCTTGACCCAATTTCTAGAGTGGCTGAAACTAGGAGTACCTTACCTCGTTCAAGGAGGATTTAGTTCTATCATCCCTCGAAAAGAACAAACAAGATAAATAGAGCACCATAGTTCCGAGGTCCTCCTTTGGTCCTTATAATCTGATGTAGGCTTGGCTGATGGGCTGTGCATAGTTGGGGATGAGAATATCATCTCTGCTCACAAAGAGAGTCTTGACCATTTGCAGATGAAAACAAAAGTCAGAACGCAGCCGCCGCGGCCCCCCCCCCCCCCCCCGGGCTTTGCTGCTGCATGTGGTTTCCAGGCTCTCTAGACACACTTCCCACTAGGTTATGCTGAGCTGTCCTTAGTTTCTCTTACACTTAGTATTGGAAGAGGAGTGAGTGGAGAATGCTTTACTCGATCACTCCCTCGATTCTTTTCTGCATAAGCCCCTCTTATTTTGGTATGAAAATAATGTTTCCTAAAATAATGTTTCCTCCCTCTTGCTGGTAAATATTAAGGAAGGATCTTTTATTTTGATACAGGGTTTCTCTGTAACAGAGCCCTGGCTGTCCTGGACTTATTTTGTAGACCAGGTTAGCCTTGAAGTGACAAAGATCCACTTGCCTCTGCCTCCCAAGTGCTGGGATTAAAGACGTGTGCCACCACTGCGGGCAGAACCATGGTTTTTAAAAAATTATTTTTTTTAGAATTGTGTTCATGTGCCACATGCCACAAAGCAGTAGAGGACCATTTTCAGGAGTTGTTTCTCTGCACCGTGTGGACTCGAGGGCTAGAACTCAGGTCCTTAGGCTTGGTGATCAGCTCACTAAGCCATTTCTGTGGTCCTTTTCTTGAAATTCTAATAGTCCTGGGGTTATCATGCTTAGTTTTGCATGGTGCTAGTGACTGAACCCAGTTTAATGCATGCTAGGCAAGAACTCGCCAACCAAGCTACATCTCCAAATTCTGTCCTCTCTATTTCTTTGGTCATTTGTGCGATGCTCTTTGTAGTTTTTTAGCCAGGGAAGCACAGTGATAGGATGTTACGGTTGGCTTCAGTTGTTTCTTTTCTTTCTTTCTTTTTTTTTTTTTTTTTTTGTTTTTGTTGTTTTTTTTTTTTTTTTTCCAGACAGGGTAGCCCTGGTGGCAC